GGATTTTGTTCTGCTTTACTTCCATAAATTGCAGGATCTTCTTTTCTTTATCTTTGCCAGAAGATTTAAACTTTAAAAGCCTTGCCCTCATAATTTGCAAGTTAATTTATTTATAAAGAAAATATAAACGCTGCTTAAACAAATGTAAATTAAATTAAAAGTAAAATAAGTAGCCAACCTTATCCCTGTCTGTAACCTACTAACAAGGTAAGGAAAGCATCAGATGAGCTACCTGAGAAACTAACGTTACGTTTCCCCACTTTAAAACCAAACAAACATGGTTACTCATCCTGCTGATCAGCTCTCTTCACTGCCATCGAAGGCTCCAAAGTGTTTTCTTTTCAGGTGCTGCGTCATAACAGTGGTGCTTCCGTGCCATGTTCATTTCTTTTGAAAAAAGTTGCATGTTATCACTTTTTTCACTTTACAAAGCGCAGGCTATTTTAATTATTGTGATCAATTTGCGCCGTCAATCCCGGCGCATGCGCGCTTCATTTGCAGTCTGGACGCTGAGGGTAAACTCCTCACTAAAATCCTGCGGCTCTGACTGCCGCGCTGAGAGGGATTCCTGTGGGAGAGGGAGAAAGGCGTTGGGATGGGGGAGGCGCCCCACGGCAGGCAAAAGCCGCCAGTGACACCGTAAAAAGTCGGCAGATTTGTCGCTAGTCGCTTTTTTGAAAAATAGTCGCTGGAGGGGTCTGAAAAGTCGCGGAGTTGGCAACACTGCAACTGCGGCGCTGACTCGCTCCGCCATATTTTTTTTTCTTCCCCCGGATGACGGCGGCGGCGGATGACGCATTAATCGCGCGACACAACTAATCGATGATTAAATTCGTTGCCAACGCTTTTAAAAGTCGATTTTTATCGATTTTATCGATTCGTTGTTGCAGCCCTAGCTAGAATAATTAATAGAATCTCTTAATTAACATCCAATATCAATAAAGGACCAGCTAACATGCTTTACTGTACATTTCCTCTGGGTAAACCATCAGGCTGGAATCATTGAGGAAATGCTGGAGGACACATTTGAGAGCATGGAAGATGGAGAAGAGATGGAGGAAGCAGCAGAGGAAGAGGTTGACAAGATCCTCTTTGAGATTACAGCAGGTGGGAATTTAAAATGAAAACAGAATTCTTTTTTTTTAAAAGATTAATATCAAGCACTTCGATTGAAATGAATGAAACTAAACATGTTTGGTTCTGCTTTGGTCGATTAGGGGCTCTTGGTAAAGCTCCAAGCAAAGTCACAGATGCCCTTCCAGATCTTCAGCCGGCTGGAGCGACTGCTGCTTCAGACGAAGAGTCGGAGGAGGAGGACATTGAAGCCATGCAGTCCAGACTGGCAGCTCTGAGGAGCTAAAGTACTGCAGGTGTTGGAGTCAGTTTGCACGGGGACAGAAACAGTGCTGAGCATCCTCCGCTCCATGCTCTGGTTTTACATTTTCATCTGGGTTAACATTGTGCTACAGCAGTTAAGGTGCTGTTGTTTATTTTTATCCGACCTAATAAAAGGGTGGTGTTTTCTGTTATCTGCAGTGACTTTAGCGACGTCTTTATTCTCCAAAGTCAATCAGAAGGTTTATGGAGGTGTATATAATGTAAGTATGAACAGCCTTCTGTGCCTAAAAGGGTTATTCTCTCTCGTTCTGTCCTACGTGAATTTTATGATCCAAAGTGACCAGCCGAGGACAAATTGTGTCACAGAGTTTAGCGTCATCATCCTCAACGGCAGTTTTTAATCTCTTTGGAAACTTTATGGAAGCAACATCTGTTCAGTTTATCAAGAATTAATCGGTCTACAGTATCTGAAACACTAGAGGTGATGGGCAGATATTTGGTTTGTTAAACTTCTGTATATTCATAATTATATATCTGTTCTTTATGTGGTCATAAGTGTTGAGTATGCTCACAATAAAATACTAGTTCTACCAATGTTTTGCAATAAGCTTTAGCTTGTTTGGCGCTATGACTTGAAGTCACGGTTTGATTTTTTTTTTTTCCTCCAAAAGAAGAGTATGTAGAAAGAATACATGGTTACTGCAGAACTTATGCATTGTTAAGTATTGTGTGTATAATTTTTCTATGTGGATGGCCGAAGAATAAATAACCAATAAACTTTTAAGGAAGAAAATATCAGTCTACCTTATTTCGTCCCACTTTTAAGCTGAGACTGGTTTCATCAGGAAAAGTTCTGCGAGTTATGTGAACCTGCTAGCCACAAATGCCCACTCAGAAAGTCAGGAAACATTTTGTAATTAAACACTGTACATCCTGTTTTTTTGGTTGTTTTTTTTTTTTTAAGTTTTTACAGCACTAGTGGCTGTTTTTTGGACAGTAGGCCCACTGTGAGAGGGGGAGAGACATGCGGCAAAGGACCACAGGTCAGATTCGAACCCAAGTCGGCAGCGTCGTGCACTAACCACTGCACCACAAATACATGCCCTCCAGGTCCTGTTTGATATTCAGAGCTCTTTATCTAATTCAGGATGCATTATATACCAACATAAACACCGGTATCAGCTGATGTTTTTTGTCATATCAGTATTATAACTTGGTCTATATTAATAACTGATGTTTATGTATTTGTGGATGTTTCAAGAAGACAGGGGGTGGCCATGTTGTATTTTTTTAGGGGAGCTGATTAACAGTAACCATGATGAAGCACACGATTCTAGGCTGTTAAACTGAGCTAAAGCAATTTCACATATGCATTTGTGTTTTGAGCTGCAGTCAAAAGGATAGAAAATTGTATAACATCAGTTTTATTGCAGTAAGATTAACATTGAATCTGTTGGCCCCTTTTTTCATATCACTGCACCTACTTCTAATATATAAGATCTACAGTAAAGAGATGTGTATATTTATGGTGTTCTATGAACATGAACTATTATCCATGCTTTGTTTGTGACAGACATAACAGATATTTATTTTTTTTCTGTTTTAATAAGGCTAAGACCGCATTATGTTTTTTTTTTTTTCTTTTTTCCTGAGATTTGATACACCTCAGGTTCATAATGTCCTCAAACATTTTCTCAGCTTTTGAAGTGAACAAAAGGATTGGGTTTCTTCCTGCTCCAGTCCTCCTCTGTAGGCTTTGTTGCACTGTAACCAAACCTTGTCTGTTATCTTGTGTTTCAGGCCACTGTCTGGATAAAGCTGAGCTGCAGCAGCTCTGACAGTGAATCTGTTTGTACTTTCTTGGCCAGCCCTGAATATATATATATATATATGTATCTCCTGTTGCTAGGTGATTAGATAGTAAATAAATTCAGAAAAAGATGACAGGACTGTAGATGAACAGTTGGGTGTCCTTAATTCAAGCTTCCTCAGCAGAAGCAGCCTTTTTAAGCAATTATTGCATCCCTATAAGCCAGGGCCGTGCCAAAGCATAGCTGAACTGACTACTTAGGGGCCCATGGTAAGAAGCGGGCCCCCAAGAACAATTCAGTGTTTATTTTTTTGCTTGTATATGGATCTATATATGGTTACAATAGCAAAGAATACAGTTTTAAAGTGAAATTCTGCATAAGCATTATTATTGTTATTCCTTTATTTGATTAAATTTTGTCTTTTTTGTACAAATAAATTATTGATTTTTATTTATCAAAGCCAGCAAGGACCAGTGCCACTGTAGGACTAGTACTGGCCCCTCTTTTTACCCCTGTATTAAAAAGATTCACTACAAATAAGTTTATTTTCCCTATATTGGACCTAGTAGTAAATCAGAGAACTTGCTGATAGAATTAGATGATTTACATTAAAATGTGAAAGAAAAATAGTGCATAGTTTTTATATTATTTCTAAGAGCATAAAATATTAATTCCTTTGGCAGATCATCATAGTTGCTTAAATTAGTGGGTAATACACTTATTTTTAATAAAATTGTAATTGTTTTAGATCAGATATTGTAGTGCAATACTAAATAAATTTAATGTGATCATATGTGCAGACAGAAGAGAGAATTACTGATTTTTCTGTTGGAGCAATTTTATTATTTTACCTTTACCATTTCCTTGAGCAATTGTTTAGAAATTGCAGTTAGATTTAGGCTTCAGTTGTACCAAGAGGAAATCGCAGTTTTCATCTGTTAGGTCAGGAGTCTGCAACCTTAGCTTTGTGGCTCACTTAATTTACTAAATGATATGCCATTGGACTTACTGGTGTGCTTCTGATCATTTCCCTGCTTCATAGCCTGGGATTAAGGTCACAAACTGATGGATGGATCTATTTTAGGATTTTTTGTTGCAGTGCAGAATTTGTGATGCAATAGAGCTTACCTCATCTTCAAGCAGCAAATCAGCCCCAGACATCACACTGCCACCACCCTGTTGTTAGGATATTTTCTCATAATGCTTCAAGTTTAAAAGAGATGAAAATGCATCAGAAAGCTGTTAAAAAGTTCCACTATTGTCTCCCATTTAAATGTCTTTATAAAGCACAGACCGATGTATACAATATATAATTATCATAAGCTGATGGAGTCTAGATCATCATCATGTTATTAGAACAGATGCAAGATTTTTTTGGCCTTTAGGCAACTATAGAGGTAATTTTTGCAGAGTTTTTGTCTTATTTTTGAATCATGAACCCTGACCTCAACTGACAGGCGTCCTGCAGAGCTTTAAATTTTTTTTTTGGTTTCTTGGTGACCTCCTGGCTCCGATGCTGTATTGCAAAATGTTTTTGTTTTTTTAGGATGCTTCTTTAATCTTCAGATCTGATTGATAATTTAAGGCTGTTGAAATTGGACCACAATATGTGGGTAATTACACTTAATTTATTATGAACAAAGGGGCTCAAAGGCTTTTTCACATAGGTGAAAAACACCTCACATTGATGTATATTATTATTATTATTATTGATTTTGTGACTATCATCATCATCATCATCATCATTTTTGGGCTGCATGCACAATGCATTTAACCAGAAGTTGAGCCTAGATGGCCCATCTGTAATCTGTGCAATGCAACAGTGCCATCTATGGAGCTGCAGCCTCGTCTCCGCTCATCCTGCATGCATCACGTTTCAGCCTGTGTGTGTCCAGACGCCTGTGGACGCGCCTGTCATCTGGAGGAAACTCCTCCCCGCAGACAGCGCGTCCTGTCGCCTTTCCAGCGCAATGGTCTCCTGGATCATCTCTAGACTTGTGGTGTAAGTCGTTTATTTTTCATCTCTTTCCGTGTTTGCTTTCCGTGTAATGGGACGGACATGGAACCGGGGGTTGGAGCGGATCTGAGCCTCTGTGCGCGGTGCAGAAGGAGCGCGCTCCGCAGAGCCCCCGCAATCTCATCTAACAGGCCAATTTAATCAGAATCAGACGTGAATGTGTGACCAGATCAGGTGACGGAGGATTAATTTTTCACTGACCAGGGTGTTTTATGTAGGACTGCAGTTTGGACCCTGAGCAGGAAGCTGAGCCAGGCCTGCAGACCTGTTCTATTTCTGAGGCAGCGCTCAGCAGCCAGATCTCTTTGTGTTTATCAGGCAGAATTTTAAAAACAGACCAACATGTTCAAGCAGCCGAGTTATAAATTGAAAAGCAGCCAATGAGTCCCATCATCCAGAGATGACAAGAGCCTAAATGTCACTTGTGTATCTGATCATTATTGGTAATCAGTCCTTCAGTGTTTCTGTCCCAGATTGGAAGCAGCATAAAAAGGGATGGTTCAGCCTTCTCAGATTACATTGCAAAAATTAAAAATGTCTGTGCACTTTGGCTAATATTTTCCTTCAATACAGGTCTAATGCAAAAGTAAAACGACAGTAAAGTGTGGTTATGATATCAACAGCTGGGACACCAAGCTTAGAACAGTCCAGAAATTAAATTTAGAATATAAGATCGCATTACAAGCTGGAGCTCCTCAGCTCTGGCTGTTAATCAGTGCATGTCCCATCTCCAACTGTGAGGAGCAGATATTCTGGCTGTCCTTGTCTTGTTGAACTCTGTTAGTTAGCTGAGCATGCAAGCAGCACTGTTGTAATGTGATGTGGGTCAGTAATATGATCTTGTCTCTGTTTATGTGGCTGCAACTGCCCTCTCTGAGCATGCACCCTTCATGGACAGGTGTCTGTGTAAATTTATATAAATCTAAGGAAAAATACAACACATAGGATCCATTTTTATCCTTTTGCCCAGTGTGTAAGTTGTAATGTACAGAAAAATCCAAATGGCAAAATGGGACTCAGCTTTGAATGAGTAAGCTATATTAAAAAAGTTGTTCATTATCTGATATTTGACTCAGCAAGAAGCCAGAAATCGGTTTCTCACATCAATGTGACTCTGCAGGTGTTGGTTTCTGTACTGTCCATCTCTGCATTCAGGGAAATCATGCAAGCAACGCTGATGAGATATTATAAAAATTTTGACATTCTTAGAGAAATTAATTTAAGAATAATATTTATCAATCATGGATGGTTTGTTTTTAACATGAGGGTTAACATGACAGTTATCCAGATTACAATGTTTCCTCACATTAAAAAATAAGATTTAAAAAAATCAAAATAAGGAATTTATTTTGGCTCAGAACCCAAACTATTTTCCCCAGATTTATTGTTGTTGTAAGTTTGTAATTTTAATTCATACAAGGGTTATATTTACTGTTTATTACAGCTAATATGTCCTGATTTTCATATATAATTCCCCTTTCTTTCCCTTTAGACTTGTTTTTGGAACGCTTTATCCGGCGTACTCTTCATATAAGGCTGTGAAGACAAAAGATGTGAAAGAATATGTAAGTACAAATTAAGAAAAAAAATCAAGGTAAATTTTCCACATTTGCTCTTTGTGGCTAAATTGACTTTTTCTTTTGTTATTTTTAGGTGAAATGGATGATGTACTGGATAATATTTGCCCTTTTTACTACAGTGGAGGTGTTTACAGATTTGTTTCTATGTTGGTAAGTTGGCTTACATGTAGATGAAATCAGATCTTTACATGAACATTATACAAATAAAGCTTATTTTTTAGCTACATAAAATGCAACTTCTGTCTAAAATGTAATATAGGACTGAGATCAGGCTTTTATGGTGACCTCTCCAAAACATCTTATCTGTTGTCCAACTCTATAACTCTTTTTGTGATGCTCCTGTGCTTACTATATTTTTTAAATATCAATTTCTATTCAAGTCTTTTGATCTTTTTTTATGATGCACCACTTTTTGTGTCGTGTACCAGTTCCTCCTTCAGAAAAAAACTCTCACAACATAATATAGCTACTGCCTTACTTCAGAGTTAGAATCATGTTTTCAGAAATTACAAGATTCACCCTTTTTCCTCCTAATTGTAACAATGGGCGACTAGAAATGCCTCCAAAAATAACATTTACTTTGGGAAAAGGGCTTCTTCTTTGCTGATTGACCTTTTAGCCCACTTTCTTACCTGCTTCAGTTAGCATCTTCTCAGAGTATTTTGTTTTTGTTTGGGGCTTAAATGACACACTTCATTCTCTGGATTAAAAAAGAGGAAGTGCTAGAAATATTTATGGTGTTTTTTCTCACAAATTAGTTTTAGCACATTCAAGCATCTAATAATGCCTAAGGTTAAACTTGACTTTTACTAAGATGTTCCTATATGTTTAGTTCAAATGTTTTGAATCATCACATCATTGTTAAATTTGAAAAGGTACAAATCATAATGCAACTCTTTAAGGAAGTAATTAAAGTAATCCAGAGCAAATAACAGTGATTATCTATTAAATGTAAACCTCACTGATTTGACTGCATTATGCACAGATCATTACGTTACGTAAAAAAAAAGTTTTTGATTTCTGTTTGAACGTGTTTTGCTGTGTCTGTTCTTGCAGGCTTCCTTTCTACTATGAACTGAAGATAGCCTTTGTGGTGTGGCTGCTGTCCCCTTACACTAAGGGCTCCAGCGTGCTGTACAGGAAGTTTGTTCATCCCACGCTTTCCTCAAAAGAAAAGGTGAAATCCATTTCCTCTGTGTTATCCTGCTTTGTTTTCTGCTGGTTGAGAGAGTTTTAGTGGAGGAACACGTCCAGCCTATGAGCTGGAAGGTTATGTGACTAACAGAGTTTGAGCTTCACAACTGTCTGTAGAGGGAAAACAAAGGTGCCTTTGTGTTAAATTTTCCCCTACATCTTAGATTTATTATGATAGCGTGAGAGGACATGTTATGCAGTTTTTTTCCATTTCTGTTGCCCTTTTTTGTTCTTAAGGTAACTAAGAAAGTAAGTAAACAAGTTTTCTCAGGATGTAAATCACAAGGTTAAAGGTATAGAGGAGGATGTTTTTTTTCCGGTTGGATCATCTAAATAAGTTATCCTCCTAATTTTCAATCGTTCTGCTCATCTCCATTTTCACTTACCCGTTGTCAGTCTGATATAGTAGAAAAATTGCAAATCTTTTGGAAAGTAAGCTTGTATGAGTGATGCAAACAGCAACGTTTAAACGGAGTGTGCACGAGGGGAAATGGGCCTGTGCACGCTCTCCCACATGCTTAATAGCCATTCCCTCTCGGGAACGAGTACAGGGTTGTGCAGGTGCATTTTTCTTTTAAGTGGAGAAGGCAGGTCTTTTCAAAAATTTGCGACAATCCTCTATACCTTTAAAGAGTAGCAACAGACTGCTGAGTGACGAAGGAAGCTGCATTCTGATAATGAAGGAAAAGTTGATTGATTCCTTTTATTTTCAGGACATTGATGAGTACATCTGCCAAGCAAAGGACAAAAGTTATGACACACTGGTGCATTTTGGGAGGAAAGGGCTGAATGTTGCAGCGACAGCAGCAGTCATGGCTGCTGCAAAGGTAAAAGAGACAATTCAGACATATGATCACAGTGTCAGCTAAAACAAAAACATGCTGTTTTCTGATGGCTTTAAATTTTCCAATTCTGATATTTCTATATGTTTATGAATTAAAAACTACTGGAATAAATAGAAAGCATGATGTCTCTGATTTAGGGTCAAGGCGTCCTGTCAGACAGATTACGGAGTTTCAGCATGCAGGATCTGTCGTCCTACCAGTCTGACCCGGCACAGACCGGACCCAGCGCCGCCCAGCCCACAGCAGCTCAGCACCGAACCAGACCCATCATCCGCAGCAAGTCAGAGAGCTACAAAGGTGAGATTCACCTGCTGCTGTCTTAGTTAGAGGATTACAAAACAATGTGAATATCCAGAATTACTTTCATACATTTTTTACCTCTTGAACTTTTTTTGAACCAATTTTGAGGTAATAACCAGAACCTGTCGTGCATTTAGTAGGGGTTTTATGTGTTACATCAAAACAGGGGGGTTTACAGAATAACGTGAGGCAGAAAGACAAGTTCAGAAGTTTTGTGTGTGTCTTTGTTTAGAATAGTAACAAAACCATATTCAATACACAGCCTACAGCTAAATACAATGGATCTTCCCCTCGGTAGTAATAGGTCCTTTTAGCTGCAGAGGAACACTAAACCCTCCGTACATTTTCCTAAATCTCTTAGGAGTACATAATTTTTCTTGACAAACAAATTCATTTTAATGTTTCGAACCATTTCTTTCTTTAAAGCGAGTCTCTGTGGCTCCAAAGATTCTTTACAGGAAAGTTTTTCTGTCAGGGAGTAATTTTTTAAGCGAATGAACATCTATTTAATAATGGTGTAGGATGGTGGTTAAAACATTCCATAAAGCTTATGATTGATAAAAATTATGAAATAGAGAAATAAGGTCATATATTTTGAAAATAAATTATTGATAGAAATCAAACGAATAGTTCAGTTCAGATCTTTTTTATTTAGTAGTGTATAAACTTGGACAGTAATTTAGGAGTTAAAGTTTCTTTTTCCTTTTCTGTCTTACTGCATAAGGTAAGCAAAAAGCTTTTATAATAGGACTATGCACCTAAGAATACAGCCAGTATGAGTGAACTTTTATGATGCGTTTGAACGAAGAACAGAAGAAACTGAATAATAAGATCTTTGTTGTGTTTCTTTGTGCAACAATAAATTGCTTTCTGTCTCCTTATGTTTGGAGGATGGCACTGCTTTATTATCTGAGCTTTTAAACCTCCAGCAAACAGAGAAACAAGTTACTGCTTTATGGCAGTAACCTGATCCGGGAGACCAGAGAAGTGTTTCATCTGCTCATCCTTCCACCAACGTCTGTTTTTCCACGGTGCAGATTTTGACATGAATGAGTATGAGGTGCTGGGGTTGGAGCAGTTGGATCCTGCAGATTTTCTGCCCCAAACTAAGCCGACCTCCGAGCCTGTGCCCACACCCGTTACACCATCTGTGACGACCCAGTCAAGCCCACTCTCCACACCCACTCCACCTGCTACTCCTGCAGCTCAGGAGCAGTTTGAGGAGGGGCTGGGGAAGGAGGTGCAGGCCACGCCGAGCTCCCCGCAGCTCAGGATGAGTAAAAGGAAAGCTCCGGAGGTACGCAGCCCGGTGAGCGTTGCTGCTCAGCTGCTGCCTGTTGAGAGTGTTTGTTCTTTAAATAGACTAACTTCTACAGCTGCATCGTCACAAGAATCATTTTGGTTCTGAGGATTTCTACAGGGATGGACTAACCCCTTTGGAAGTTGCACTGATTTAACTCATCACTTGCATTTTGGAGAATGTGGTGTGACAAAAATATGCATTTAAGAACTGAAAGTCTTTCTCAGTAAATAGACTCAGATTTAAACACACTTTCTCATGGTGTATGATTTATTGCAAAGAATTGCTGTATCCATCCATCCATTTTCTGACACACTTAATCCCAAGCAGGGTCACAAGGGGTGCTGGTGCCTATGTCCAGCTGTCTACAGCTGTATACGGGCAAGAGGCAGGGTACACCCTGGACAGGTCGCCAGTCCATCACAGGGACAAACAACCATTCACGCACACACTCACACCTAAGGAGAATTTAGAGAAGCCAATTAATTTAACAATCATGTTTTTTTTGGACTGTGGGAGAAAGCCGGAGTACCCTGAGAAAACCCTTACATGCTGAGGGAGAACATGCAAACTCTATGCAGAAAGACCTGGGCCGGAATTCGAACCCACAATCTTCTTGCTGCAAGGCAGCAGTGCTACCCACTGTGTCACATATGAAAATTCAGTGGTGTCAATGCAAATGGCCTCAAATTTGACCAGGTTGCTGAGCAGTCCGAGTTGCTGTATCAAAAAAAAATAATAATTATAAAAAAATAAAAAAACAAGAATAAAGTACATTATTGTCCCTACTATCTGTACTAAATATACATGATTGATCACTCACTGGGATTAACTTTACAGCAGATGTTTGCTTAACCAATCCACACAGACAACCAAATTAGTACAAAATATTCTACAAATTAAGTTTTGTGTGAAAAAGTGGAACGACACAGAGAGATATTGTACAGACTTAATCAATTTAATTTATTAACTTTGTTTATCACCCTTATTCTCTTAATCATTTGTTGGGAATTGGTACAACATGAATATATTTAACTGAAATAGTTTGTTCTTTCTGGAGAAAATAACGAATAAACTGCTCAGGAAGGACTTCGACCTATTTTCCCACGCAATGCCTCTGATCTACTGTTCTTTCTATAAACCTTTAGCTAGATTCAAGTCTGGGTGAGACTGGAAAATCCTAAAAGCTTTCTTTTCTTTCTTAAGTCAGTTATACAAAGTCTGCTGGTACCATATGCTATACAACAGCCCTTCATTATCATGTTCTCCCTTCTCTCAAATGTGTACGATATAATCCACAGTTTAGCTTTGTTTTTATTTTACCAGACGATACTTTCTATATCATCTGCTTGTTTAAATGGTCCACAGCAGACATCAAAAGAACTCCAGCTTGACTTTTCTTCAGCAGTGGAGTCTTGTGGAAGTATCATGATGTCTGAGCAGTAAATAATTGTGCCTGCTGATTCTAGGTGCTTCTGAAAAAATTAATTACAGTTTCTTGGCTCTTTGAATTCTCTTCGGATTATTTTTTCTACACTTTTGTTTAATAAATTGTGATAGAAACCTGATTTTAGCAGAATTAAGATCAAATCGGGTTCTCTTTGGCTCAGCATTAGGGCTCGCTAGACCATTTAAACATGTATAAATCCAGCTGTAACCGATGGTGTCATCTATCACAATAATAAGACTGTGGCTCTAGAGTGAGCTCCATGCTGTTTCTGATCATGCTAATGTGAAACCCATTTAGAAATGGATTTACTGAGAAAAACATTCTTGTGTTCAACATAATTTCCCCCACTGTGTTAAAGGCAAGTGCATTAAATGATTAAGTGCCTGCCAGTCTGTTTTAACCAACTAAATAATATATCTCATGCTTTGTTGAACAGAGAGACAAGTATTGATGATATTGAGGCTGTTGCTTAAGTGACAATGTCAGAGGCTGGTCTTTTATTCATTATTATTAATTAAGGTTAAACTAAAATAACTAATAATGTTCATAAAAATGCATTCCATATTTTCACTCAAAAATAATGTGGAATTTCCAGTACTATTTTAAATAATTGTAAGATTTCTTTGTTTAGATAATTATAATTTTGTGTATTTGATGTCCTTTTGTTTCAACGGTAATCTAAAGAAATAATACGTCATAAAACAGAAATAGTATTTAAACATTGTAGTAGTTGATTGATTTACTTAACGATATATATTTTTTAACTACCCACCCCGTTTCAAAATGTGAATTAGCTTACTAATATTTTAAATTCAGTCTTGTCTCTTATTTTGCTTTAATAATAAAAGTAAAAACAACCCTAGCAGCAGCATTTTAGATGCGTCTGTATCTGATCAGGCTCTATCTGCCTCTTTGCTTCCAGCCTCCTCTTAGAGTCCTGAGGCCTCTCACAAGATCCAGGAGTTCTCTTCCTTCAAACAATGAAGCCATGTGAAGCCGCCCTCCTCCAGCTGCCTTTGCTGCAAACAAGTAAAAAGTGAAAATACTGAATGGCAAGAAGCTCTACGACTGAAGCAGCCCTGCTTTGGAACGGCGTATTACCAAAGTGACCTAAGAAGATCCCTAATTTACAGCATATTCCCTAGTGGTTCATAATGTTAAGAAAAAACAGGTTTTGGTCAGATAGACACTTTGCATTTAAATATGTATTTATGTACAGTATGTGTACTTTATCTCATGCTTTGGTTGTTTTTTTATATATCAGAGGTTGCCACATGTGTGTTCCTCATCATTGGTCTTAGTGTTTATGAAGCAGCATGTACTTTAGAGAAGATCATCACTGCGCCAGAGAAGGATCCGTGCACTGAAAGGAGAGCTGAGGCTGTGCTTTTTGTTTTGATTATTTTGTGATTCACAAAATTAACAGTCGACACTTTCTTCGTCCACATTTACCTCTCTCTCTTTCTCTGTTGGCCTTAAATGAAGCGGACACCCAAAATGACTTGCACTATGTTCTTCATTTACATCACTGCCCTCCAACAAAGCAGTGGCTATGTTTTAATGGAACGCCTAATTTTATAAGGGTTTATTTCTGCCTGTAAGGTCATGAGCGGATGTCACAAATGCATCACTACAATCAGACTTCATATTTTAAAAAATCCTTTAGAAACTTAAGGTTAAAAATTGCTAAATGATGCTAATTCTTTTATTTTCAGCATTTTGAAACCAATGTTAGCTGAGCAGCTGCCCGTGCTTTCGTTGTTCCTCCTGAGGGCCGGTAGTGACAACAACAGCTCACACTGATGTCTTTTTCTTGAACGTTATTCACTGAGCCTGAACCTGGTTTTCACTGTGTTGATGTGCAGTAATTGTACATGGTTGCATCTTTTATCTCTTACAGTGGTTACAGTAAAAAAAGACAACAAAAAAAGCTTCTCAGGTACAACTGTTCTGTTTACATGCATTCACTCTGATATTGTAGATATACTTATTATGCACATTTTAGTGTTTTTTTCAGTGGATTGAATAGTGGAAAAGAGACAGGTTGTTTCTAATTATGTATCAGTGCTGTCAGTGTTAGTGTTGGAGGTGATTTCCATACATTAAAGCTTCCTGCATGATCTTAATTTCTATGGACGATTTTATGTGAAGCTGCTCTCGTTTAGTTTCTGTTTAGATACATTCAATAAGGTTTTTTTTGGTTGTATTAGAGAGAATTTTCCTTCCTCTGACATTTAGAGTCATGTGAATAAATAAGAACACCCTGAAAAGTGTTAAAAAGAAGTCACACGCTACCCATTATTAGCTGGTTTTATCCCCCTTTGGATTAAATTACCTTGTTTTCATTTATTTCTAACATCAGTTGGAAAAAAAATCCCCTTCAGCTGTGAGACGTTTTAGGGATCTCCTCTTGCATCTTGATCCTGTTTTAGATAATCTCACTGAAATCAGGATCTGGGCTTTGACTGGGTCCAGGAGTTTCAATTTCCTAGCTTTCCTTAAGTTCTTTGTGAAATTTTCTTTTTAATCATTTCATATAACCGGCTCCAAAGAGGGTCTTATATCTGAAACATGGTTCAGTTCATGGCCCATTACATAATGGTGAGCTGGAGTACACCATCCAAAATGTCACTGCCACACCCAGAATTCCTAGCTCAGATGAGTTTGTGGTTCTTCCTGGAAGGCTGCTTTTGGTTTACCTCCAAAAAGTTCTCTCTTTCCTCTCTATGTCCAAGTAGTTTATATTTAGACTCCTTTTTCCAGAGAACATCACTCCAGAAGTCCTGTTCTTTGTCTACATTCTCTCTGCCAAACATTGGCGTGGCCTCTGTGCTTTTTTATTAGAGAGCAAAGGTTTCTTCTCTGCAAACATTTCCTTACAAAGATGCACTTTCATATAAATGGTAACGAGCACCTGCTGTAGGTCCTGTGAGGATTTTTCAAGACATCTTAGGCTGCTCTAAGTGGACTCTGCTTGGTTACTAAGACCTGAACATGTAGCGTTTTTAGGCTTTCGTCCACTTGTCCGTTTTCCAGAGAGTGGGGTGGGTGATTTGATCAATTTAAGACATCCTACTCCCTTACTGGATGCATTAAGTGCTATTCTTCTTTGAGAAGGCCTGACAGTTCTTTGTTTTTTTATTATGGAGATCATTCTTTCTTCAGCAGACAGGAACACCTTATTAAAGATCTGAGGTTCAAAGATAGTAAACTTTCAATCTATCATTTACGATTTATTTTGTATTTATTCAACATTTGTAAAACAGTTAATCAAATATGTAGATGTACAGAAATGTTAGCAGGGTGTTTGATGTTATTCACATGACTGTAAACCAACCCCAGTCCTTCAATTTTTTTCTGGCAGGCCAGAATATATATATATTTTTTAGTTTCTAATAGCGTGTGGCTAAAACATAAAGCAGAGGTGTGAAGAAATGTTGGTTTATGACTTCAAACTTCACAAAAATCAACTATAATAAAAAAAATATAGATGAAGACTTAAAGTTTCATGTTTTCTGTCTCCTTTTCTATAAAGAAAAAAAATTCTCTTTACATTTAGTTTATTTATGACAACAATACAGATGTTTGACTTTGTTACATGTTATTCAGCATCAGTAGATTAGTCAGAGGTTGACACGGTCGTGGTACTTCAGATATGGATCATTAAGGAACCAGTTTCTTCTTTTCCAGAAAGACGTGGTCATTTTATCCAAGAGTTTGCTCTGAGTCTTGTTACAGAAAACCATTTCCCTCAGACGCTTTCGTCTGGCAGGCAGCTTCTTCCACAGCTTTTTCTTGTATCCAGCCTGTTCAGAGAGCAAACACTCTTCGTTAGATGTAAATAAAACAGAAACCAGAGATTCTGAAAGGTAATAAAAAAAAAAAAAAAGGCACACCTTCCGCCTGATCCAAAGGCCACAGTGCAACCGCATAAAACGGTCGGTCACCGCTTTTACCGTTTTCCTCTTTCCCTTCTTCACGCTGAAATAGGTCAGGTTTCTACAGGGCTGCCAGGTCAGGCTGGGAACCAGAGCAGCAACCCTGAAACAGACAAAAACAGCTCTGATATGTAAGTGATTAAATAAATAAGTAAAATCTTAATTTAAATGCAGATTACAACTTTGTTTTAAGAAATAAAGAGGCTCCTCTGGGATGTGGAGGAAAAAAAGGAGACAAGCAGAAGAATGCAGCTGCAGATTTACGGGCCCATCCAGCTTCAAACTTCACACCGAACGCAGCAGGAGCAGCAAAAACGCGTCTGCTACTTCCCTTTTGCTGCTTGTACCAGTTTAGTTCTGACGTGCGGCTGAAACAGCTTTGCTGCTCTGGCTGCGCGGCAGGGCCAAGCTCAATTCATGGTAGTGGCTGCGTTGCGGCAGTTCCGGTGGCTCGTTGACTCATTGTGACATGACGCAGCTTTAGTACGGCGTATCACTGGCCGCAGCCAATAAATTATTTTCATTATTATCATTTTGTTTATTTACTTTTTTGTTGTATTTTTCTTGACGTTTTTCGGCAAATTACTTATTTATAGTACCCCTAAGATTGTTTTTTGTTTTTTTATATCGTGATGTTATTGCTTAATAACCTGCATAAAAACTTTTATAATGTCACATTTACTTGATGGAACGAAGTAGTTTATCTGCCAATAAGTGGCCTCTGCCCGCAGCGGCCGCCATCAGCCACTACGCAGCCACTCCGGTGGCGGGCTTTGTCGACAAGATATGGTCGGTCCAGCTGCTTGCTTAGCAAACGAAAAACAAAACAGCAGAAGATGTTATAAGGTTTGCAAGCAAGAAAGCCCACCTAAAAGAATCAACTGCATATTGATGCCACAGCCTATAATGGCCACTGAAACTGTGCGTCCCCTCCTCCACGTCTTTGCCGCTTTGACCCAAAACCTGCATTCCTAGCTCAAGATGAGCTAACTTCCTGTTCTTATTAGGTGATTCTTAAGTTATTTTTATAAAAATAATGCTTTGTTCTTAAAAGTTAGTTCCTCAGTAGGCACGCAATATTAAGAAAGAGATATGGCTGTTTATAGGGGGCGCAGTTGAGTCAAAATACAATGTCATCAGACAGAGCACTGCACAGGGTGTCAAAGATCATTCATATGCAGTTTGGGGGAAATCTGATCACTTTATTGTGATCCAGAGTCAAATGAATCAGGTTGACGAGCCGCAGATTAAAATATCTAGATGTTAGAAGGCTAAACAGAGTTAGACCAACATGTGATCTGTGTTTTGACCAAGTTTCAAGTTGGTGAGGGCAAAGGGGTCGAATAATGAGTATTTTAAGAACCAGCAACTGTTGTTTCAAACGTGTTTAAGGGCCACACTTGGATTTATGAGCAGAGTCATACTGGTCAGACTGGAAGAGCTTAAGAAGTGTGAAAGGTCGCTCTCACTTGGTGTGTGAATAAAACAGACTTTCAGCTGCTTCAATTTACTGTTGCTTTGATTAACACAACTCACCATTCCATCATTCGGACTATTCTAGGAACTTGTTGTTGGGAGAAATTGGAGCGCCGACACCCACACATCGAGTGCCCAAACTACCAGATGAGAAACACTGCCCACATTTTAGCAGCTTATGCCAGTTATTGCCTCATTACAGGCAGACTTCACTCTCCTGAGTAGGGCTGAAACAATCTGTCTGAGTTAGTTAATCAAGTCATCAAATAATCATTAAAGCCACAAGTGGCATTGTGCGGCCCTCGCAGCTCGCACCGCCTGGTATGTTGCGATCGCTGGAACCAAGCGACCTCCACCTCCATGCTCCTTCCCAGCCTGTGCTCCTGCTCTTCAGCCTATACCTGCTGCTGCTTCTCTTTATCCTCCCCCTCCTTCTTATTCTGCTGCTGCCACTGTTTCTCCTCCACCTGCAGCCTCTCCTCCTCTTACTCATCCTCCTGCTAATGCAGCTTCTCCTCATCATCCTCCTGCCGCTGCTTATCTTGCTGCGTCTCCTTCTCCTCCTCCTGCTGTTGCTCTTGCTGCATCTCCTTCTCCTCATCCTGCTGCTGCTCTTGCTGCATCTCCTTCTCCT